ATTTAGCACAATATCCGGTCTTAGTAAATTCTCAATAAACATTAACTACCCAATATAACCTGTTGAAATCCAAGATGCCCCATGGCTTAGCATAATTATTTTTCCAAACTAATATTACAAAATTGTGACCAGCACTGTAAAAAAGAATTTACTACTAGAACTGAAAAGAAAACAGCAGAGCGCAATAAGTCAAGTATTGTTCTGAAAATCTTTTTTCAGACTCAGACACACATTCTTTCTCTCTCTCCCCACCCCCCTCAACTGAGCCTCCCACAGTTTTTCTCTGTTGCCTTCACTATGTAGTCTTCGAAAGACTGCACATCTGGCTCTTCTTCAGGGCACAAGAGCATTTTGTATAAAATTCTACAACACTTACTACACTCGGCTTGTTTATATGTGTATCTCTCCCATTAGAATGTAAATTCCAACATCACTAATTATTAGAGAAATGCAAATCAAAACTACAATGACGTACCACCTCACACCAGTCGGAATGGTCGTCATCAAAAATCTACAAACAATAAATGCTGGTGAGGGTGTGGAGAAAAGGGAACCCTCCTATACTGTTGGTGGGAATGTAAATTGGTGTAGCCACTACAGAGAACAGTATGGAGGTTCCTTAAAAAGCTGAAAATATCAGGGTGATGGTGGCCTCGTAGGATGAGTTTGGGAGTGTTGCTCCCTCACATATACCATGTTCTTGGATTGGAAGAATCAACATTGTGAAAATGACTATACTACCCAAAGCAATCTACAGATTCAATGCAATCCCTATCAAACTACCACTGGCATTTTTCACAGAACTAGAACAAAAAATCTTAAAATTTGTATGGAGACACAAAAGGCCCCGAATAGCCAAAGCAGTCTTGAGGGAAAAAAACGGAGCTGGACTTCAGACTATACTACAAAGCTACAGTAATCAAGACAGTATGGTACTGCCACAAAAACAGAAATATAGATCAATGGAACAAGATAGAAAGCCCAGAGATAAACCCACGCACATATGGTCACCTTATCTTTGATAAAGAAGGCAAGAATATACAGTGGAGAAAAGATAGCCTCTTCAATAAGTGGTGCTTGGGAAACTGGACAGGTACATGTAAAAGTATGAAATTAGAACACTCCCTAACACCATACACAAAAATAAACTTAAGGGCTTCCCTGGTGGCGCAGTGGTTGAGAGTCTGCCTGCCGATACAGGAGACACGGGTTCGTGCCCCGGTCTGGGAAGATCCCACATGCCGCGGAGCAGCTGGGCCCGTGAGTCGTGGCCGTTGAGCCTGTGCGTCTGGAGCCTGTGCTCCGCAACGGGAGAGGCCACAGCAGTGAGAGGCCCACGTACCGCAAAATAACAAAACAAACAAACAAAAAAACTCAAAATGGATTAAAGACCTAAATGTAAGGCCAGACACTGTAAAACTCTTAGAGGAAAACATAGGCAGAACACTCTATGACATAAATCACAGCAAGATCCTTTTTGACCCACCTCCTAGAGAAATGGAAATAAAAAAAATAAACAAATGGGACCTAATGAAACTTAAAAGCTTTGGCATAGCAAAGGAAACCATAAACAAGACCAAAAGACAACCCTCAGAATGGGAGAAAATATTTGCAAATGAAGCAACTGACAAAGGATTAATCTCCAAAATTTATAAGCAGCTCATGCAGCTCAATATCAAAAAAACAAACAACGCAATCCAAAACTGGGCAGAAGACCTAAATAGACATTTATCCAAAGAAGATATACAGACTGCCAACAAACACATGAAAGAATGTTCAACATCATTAATCACTAGAGAAATGCAAATCAAAACTACAATGAGATTTCATCTCACACCGGTCACAATGGCCATCATCAAAAAATCTACAAACAATGGATGCTGGAGAGGGTGTGGAGAAAAGGGAACCCTCTTGCACTGTTGGTGGGAATGTGAATTGATACAGCCACTATGGAGAACAGTATGGAGGTTCCTTATAAAACTAAAAATAGAACCACCATACAACCCAGCAATCCTACTACTGGGCATATACCCTGAGAAAACCATAATTCAAAAAGAGTCATGTACCACAATGTTCATTGCAGCTCTATTTACAATAGCCAGGACATGGAAGCAACCTAAGCATCCATCAACAGATGAATGGATAAAGAAGATGTGGCACATATATACAATGGAATATTACTCAGCCATAAAAAGAAACGAAATGGAGTTATTTGTAGTGAGGTGGATGGACCTAGAGTCTGTCATACAGAGTGAAGTTAAGTCAAAGAGAAAAACAAATACCATATGCTAACACATATATATGGAATTTAAGGGAAAAAAAAAAAAAAGGACATGAAGAACCTAGGGGCAAGATGGGAATAAAGACACAGACCTACTAGAGAATGGACTTGAGGATATGGGGAGGGGGAAGGGTAAGCTGTGACAAAGTGAGAGAGTGGCATGGACAGATATACACTACCAAACGTAAAATAGATACCTAGTGGGAAGCAGCCGCATAGCACAGGGAGATCAGCTCGGTGCTTTGTGACCACCTAGAGGGGTGGGATGGGGGGGTGGGAGGAAGACGCAAGAGGGAGGGGATATGGGGATATATGTATATGTATAGCTGGTTCACTTTGTTATAAAGAAGAAACTAACACACCATTGTAAAGCAATTATACTCCAATAAAAATGTTAAAAAAAAAAAAAAAAGAAAATAGAACTACCATAAGACCCAGCAATTCCACTACTAGGTGTATACCCAGAGAAAAATCACAGTTCGAAAAGATACATGCACCCCAATGTTCACTGCAGCACTATTTACAATAGCCAGGACGTGGAAGCAACCTAAATGTCCATCAACAGAAGAATGGATAAAGATGTGGTACATACATACAATGGAATGTTACTCAGCCATAAAAAAGAACAAAATAATGCCATTTGCAGCAACATGGATGGACCTAGAGACTGTCATACTAAGTGAAGTAAGTCAGACACAGAAAGACAAATATCATGATATTGCTTATATGTGCAATCTAAAAAAAGGGGTACAAATGAACTTATTTACAAAACAGAAGTAGAGTCACAGATGTAGAAAACAAACGGTTACCAGGGGATTTGGTGGGGGCGGGGTGGATAAATTGGGAGACTGGGATTGACATAAACACACTACTATATATAAAATAGATAACTAATAAACACCTACTGTATAGCCCAGGGAACTCTACTCAGTACTCTGTAATGGCCTATATGGGAAAAGAATCTAAAAAAAGAGTGGATATATGTATATGTATAACTGATTCACTTTGTTGTACACCTGAAACTAACACAACATTGTACATCAACTATACTCCAATAAAATTTTTTTTAAAAAGGTAAACTCCAAGGAAACTGCCTTTTATTACCTATTTCTGGTACAAGAAAAATACTGCCAGCTCAGTAAAATTTGTTGAATGAGTGATTAAATCATCAAAATCTAATAGGTATTAAAAACATACAAAACATTTAACTGTTTTCATTTATCATTATCTGATTGGGTTTTATTATTGTATAAACTTTAAATTTACCTATAAGTCACAAAAAAATCAATAAAGTTGGGACCTCCCTGGTGGTCCAGTGGTAAAGAATCCACCTTCCAATGCAGGGGATGCGGGTTTGATCCCTGATCAGGGAACTAAGATCCCACGTGCCACGGGGCAACTAAGCGCTCATGCCACAACTAGGAAGAAGCCCGTGTGCCAAAACAAAGAGCTCACATGCCTCAACGAAGATCCCGCATGCCACAGCTAAGACCCAACATAGCCAAAAAAAAAACAGAAAATTAAAAAAAAAAAAAAAGGATTTAAAAAAAAAAAAAAATCAATACCGTTGTTCTTCCTCCCAAGTGCCTTGTATACTCCCGTCTAGAAAAGGTGAAAAATGTTTACTTAAGAAACTGAAATGGGTGGTGTGCATAATGATCTTTGAAAAGTAGAACATCAAAGCATACAGATGTGCTGCACAGCTGAAGTTTTATTTAGGAGACTAGCCATGTTCATGTTTGTTAGGGGCCAATAAAGTTAAGGAAAATTTATTAGGCAGAAAAGCTTGCTTCCTCTATATGACAAACTGTCCAAAGATCCCCTTTCACAGGTACTGCAGGTACCATGAGAACACATCTAAATAACAACACTGGGCAGGTACTTGCTTGACTACTTAATATAGAGATATTTGAAGAACCTTAATATTTTCAATATTCATATATTATTACCATCATTTTCAATTCTATGTAAATGTAAGAACCAAAGTTATACAAATTTACCAACTCTTTTATTCCATCACAAAAAGGCAAAATACTGGAAATAAATTCTAAAGAAACACTTTTCATCATGCTTAGAGATGTCAAAAGTTGACAGTTTACTAAATCAAGGTTACATATAAAACTTGGTTTTACGTCCATCAAAAAAAAAAAAAAAGAATAAATGCAACTAAACGTTTGCTCTAAAATGAGGCTCAACTTTTAAAGGTATGGGTTCCTTTATAGTAATCTTCCAAAATATTTGTTTCTAAATCTTTAACAACTTGACTGAAAAACTGGAAGTTTACAATTTATAAGATTATAACTCTCTTGATATAGTAAGCTATATACATGAAACTGTAAGGGGGAAAAAGTGGTATCGCTATTTTAGGACTCAGGCACTTTGCTTCATCCCCGTGGCTAATTACTGCAAATGATATTTTTACCTACTCTAAACTTGTTAAACATCTATTTCACAAAACTTCTTTCCATTTGTCACTTTAAACATATTTTAAGCTATTATGAAACTCTATTTCAAAGTAATTTATTAGGCTCAGATATTAAGCCAAGTCCTACAGTTAACACTGATTTACTGAAGGCAGAAAAAAAAGATAAGCTGTGATAAATACTCTTAAGAAACAAAACTGACAAAAGTTGCAACAAGTTGTTGCTCCTTATTAAAAATTCTTCCCTATATTTGAAATGGTAATTTTAATGACCCTAGTAAGGGAGGCAACACTCACCAGTATGAATCTTCTCATGTCTCTGTAGCAGGTACTTCTGTATGAAACGCATGTCACATTGACTACATTGAAATGGTTTTTCACCTTAAAATAATTTCACATCCACAAATTAGTTACTGGATAAAACACAGTTTATAGTTACTATTTTTGAAGAAACAGAAATCTTAGAAGCCCAAATTCTGGAAATTCCAAATTATCCACACAAAGTTTTTATACTATTCATTAACAGAATTTTATTTCCTCTCAATTTCCTCCCCAAGATTTAAAAATTCACATTCTCACAACCTCACAAAAATGAGATTAAATCTTTCAAGGGAAAAAGAAGTAAATAAATAAAGCAATTTAAAATAGAATTTAAAAATCACAAGGCTAGAAAGGACTCTACCGGTTACCAAGTGTGTCTTAAACATCTCTTCTTTTTATCTGGAGGAAGATCCACCCACCTTGTTCTCCCTGGCTAACCACCACTTTATGCTCTTTCACTTATTTTCTCCAGAACCTTCAGAACTTTCTAAACATCCCCTTAAAAAAAAACTAATCCTGTCTCTTCAAACGTTCCCTCTCTGTTGGAGCCTTTCCTTTCAGTAGTCTACCCTATGTCTCAAATTCTTCACCACCCACTTGTCCTTTAACCCTTATACTCTGCTTTCTGAAAAGCTTACTCATGATCTTCCTGCTGTTTATTCTAATGGTTTGTTCTCAGCTCTCAGGTCTCTCTCTATCCTCTCAGAAGGTTGTGCTATGGTTGATCCTACCCTCCTTGGAATTCTCTTTGGGCTTCTGGAACGCTGTATTTTATCAGTTCATCAAATCTACCTTATTATTCTGTCTCCCTACCCACCCCTTAACTCAACATACATGTCTAGTAATCTTTCCCCAAAGATCTGTGATCAGGTCTTTAGTTCTGATCTCCACAACTTCATGTTATTTTTTTATATTTGATTCCCAGATTCATATTTCAAACTCCATCTGGACATCTTACATAGAAAAATAAATGCTGACAGGCTTTTAATAGTTCATTCTTTAACTGTTTCTCTAGCTAAAAAGAACACATTAAGCCAGATAAATATGCAATTAAGACTAATTTTGCACATCTATGCTAATTGTTTTCTCATTTAAAGTTTTTCCTGCTTTCCTTCTTACATCCTGGCCTATGAAGTCTCTGATTTGAAATGCCAGGTTACCTAAAGCCTTAGAAATGAATGACATTTACAAGAAGATGAAAATAGCAAAGATAATAATTTTAATGGCCATAAGCCCACTTTAATTCAAGAAATACCTGTATGAATGAAGACATGTCTCTGTAAGTGATAGTTCGTTCTAAAGGCAGCATTGCAGTGCTCACAAACGTGAGATTTAGGGGTTTTCAAACCAAGTGATCCATCCTCATTTATTGTAAGGATCTGGTTTTAAAAAAAAAAAAAGGCGAAACAAAAGAAAGAAATTTTTAAAACGTAATACTAATTTATAAAACAGATAATGCCTTTTAATGCAAACAATGGTCACCAGAAATTATGAAATATTTTTTCCTAAATAATCTTGAGAGGGCTATTAGAATAATGTTACCATTAATTTTAAGGAAGTACAATGTGACTCAGTATGGGTAAAAATCACTAATAAAACCTTGGAAGCTGGTTAGGTAAGATCTCAGCACTCTGCCCCCTCCTCTCCAAACCTGATGTCTAGTAGAGTCCCTACGTGTTCACTGCTAGGGTGAGTATAGCTTTATCTTCGATTTCAAAATATCACATATGCAGGACAAAAGTCTTATGTTTTAGACATGGCGTAAATATCAATCAAATAGCACTGGTTAAATAAATCATGGAAAATGAATACAATTTAATATCATGTGGCTGTAAAATAAAACGAGAAAGCTCTCTATATACTTACATAGAAAGAGCTCGAGGATTTATTCTTAAGATAAAAAGCAAGGTCCAGAATCTAGTATATAATTTTGCTAATTTTGTATACAAGATAGTACATATAGCAATATATATGTGTTCGCATATGCATAAAAACTATTTGAGAAGGATATACATAAAATGTATATAACCTTGGTTGTCATGGCTGGGGAACCTGGCATATAGGAGATATGGCAGGAAGGAGGTTTTACACTGTACATACTTAAAACATTTTTCTGAACCATACAAACGCTTACTTATTACGTTCTCCTTTTTCTTTCTTCTTAAAGAAGAAAAAAAGAAAACTAACTTTTTAAGTCATCCTAGAACTGAATTTTGAGTCTGGCTCAGTTTAGGACCTCTAAGGTTACTCTAGGACTACTAAACTATTGTTAAGCATATTCCTTAATAAATGAGAGTGGGTATGGGGAAGGAAGACAGGTGACAAAAGACATCAACCTTGTCTGCCTGTGCTTCCTGTGGTCGAGAATATCTTGGGCCAGGTCTGGACAGTTCCAGAGAGAAGCTCACCTTTGGGCTTCATGTATTCCAGTTTATCAACCATTTGCCCAACACGCAACATTTAAACTGCCTCTTCTCACCAGACACATGGCAGAGTGAAAATAACAAATAATCCCTTTTTTCATTATTGAGGAGAGAAGAAAGATGACAAAATATGATGTGAAGATAAGAAGCAGAGAAAACTAGGAGGTAAGATCAGGAGGAATATGGCAAGTGAGAGGGAAACAGTATTGGAGGTGGGGGCATACAGAGTGGGAGCCAAGAAACTGTGTACCACACAGGGTAGAGAAATCTAGCAAACATCTTACAAAATACAAAGTCCTGTGGAAACTGATTAGGGCCTGTAAATACACAGCTATGACCCCATTCCCAAAACCTAGAAAGAGGGAGTAAGTAAGGAAAAAGGGCTTTAATTTTTAAAAAAAAATTTTTTACTTTAAGTTCAGGAAGACAATTCAGCCTATACTGTATGTAAATCAACGGTATTTATTATGCAAATTATACAGAGCATGTGGGTTCTGGGCAAACTGCCAATGTGGTCAACAATGCTTCAAAGTCTATGTACCAAAGTCACAGAGGGAAACATTTGGCAGGAGAATGCAAGTGGGTGTCACAGCTTCCTGAAGAGTCAGTGAGAACAGAAAGTTTCATCTCTGGTCAGTCAGTCTAAAATTTCTTCAACCCCTCCAAGTCACAAAATAATATTCAAGTTAACAATGTGTAAAACAAATGAACAAAAAAACCACAAAATCTTTTAAAACATGATTCAAAATATTTCTAACATAAAATAAGTAACAAAAAGATGTTAAACATTTTATACGAAACAGAATAAAAACAAGATAGCACCAGGTATTTTTTCACATATGTTGATAACAAATAAGAAGACCCAAGTGCCAAAAACATGGCAACTCAATAGCTTTCTGTGGCATAGCAACTGCAAGGAAAGGCTTTGTAAGGAACAAATCCGGCCCAAGTTACTTAATGTGAAACGGATGTAATCCTTGACTATACAAAGCCCTTTTATGAAGAGTTAAGGAGTTCTAGGTCATTGTTTTCTGGCACTGGGGGTAATGCTGCCTTTCACTGTGGACTCAAGCCTTAATTCAAGGTGGATTTTATGGATGAAACAGCAAACACTGACTTGTGAATAAGCAGACTGAAAAACCTAGCATATTTATAAGTTCAATGACACAAAAATTAAATTGTTGGACATTTTGTATTTAATTTTATATTAATTTTTTTCTTTTCTTAGGCCAGGGTAACACACATCTTTGTATCAATATAAAAGAAAATTATCTTGCCTCAGAAGAACACCAGTGGCTCTTCCAATTTATAATCTGTTTTAAATATAACCGACAGATCTTGTCTGTTTTACTCACCACTATAACCCCAGTATCCAAATGGTATCATAGTGAAGCTCTATAAATGTCTGTTGATATGGCTGCCTACTACCCATACCAAACATCCTGACAGCTTACCACTCTCTTCTTCGTAAAACTTTCTGCAAATTCACTAAGTAGTACCATAGTGAAATGGCTATGTAAAGAACAAAGTTCCTTGGTGGAACAGAAATGGCTCATTAATACAGGTAAAATTATCTTCCTTGGTATAGACTTGGTTTCTTTTCCTGTTCACATCCTTTCCAGATCTTTTAGTAAAATGTGATCTACCAGGTAAGTGGATTTGCCTGAGATTAGCAGGCTTACTTGCTACTAGTACCATAAAATGTTTTTGCTTTTCTTTTTCCCTTCAACATATGAGCACCATTACAACGGAAGAATTTGAAATTTCCAAGTTTAAACCCTAAGGTGCCTGCTATAATATCTCCACATGATTTGTCTTGACTCCTGTCACTGCTGCTTTTGGAGAAATATGGTACGTTATAAAGATCAAGCAACCGGGCTTCATCAAGAGTAAAGAAATTAGTAATAGTCTAAACAATACTCAGCATACTTGATTTTTTTCCTTAACTGTTTCATAAGTTTAAAACAGAATTTTTCAGTAGAATATTTCAATACCAAATGGAACTCCTCAATTAATCTGCTTTCTTAACCTCACGGTCCATTAGCAGATATATTTTTTGTTCTGAGCCAAATCTGTTCCCAGCTAGCTATCTATATACATAGCAATGCCTATGTTAAATAATATACCAATTTTCATCCAACGAAGCACTAACCTCTGCCTATTCAATTTAGAGATTTTTGACTCCTCAAGGGTCACTGCCACCAAATAACTGAAACTTGACACCCCTCAGTGAGAGTTTTTTTCTCTTAAAAGGCAGATGTGATTTTCCCCATTCTATATATACTAGGTACTACTGAAATTGTTAAAGCATATTTTAAACTAATGATTATAAGTTTTATCATACATTCTTAAATCAATTTCTAAACCACCAAAACCCCAAAAACAATTTGGAGGAGACAGTTTAAAATTCTCACCTATTATGAGCTGTTTTACTGCAACTGAGGGTGGGGAGTGAGATCTAAAGTTCACTTTACTCTCCAAATCCAACTAGAAATGGAAGAAGAGTGCAAGCCCAAAGACATACAACAAAATAACAAAGTAGCCCAAAGCAATAACCACCTAAACATCTTGACCATCCTACTTATCGTTAATATCCCACCTCACGTTGTCACTTTCTTTCATTCTCCATGATTTTTACTGTCTCTCAGCATTTGATTTTACTTATTAACAAATTTCATTTCTAAATGGCAAGCTTTTGCCAGTGCTAGAACATGAAATTCACTATATCATAAGCATGGTATATATAACATGATATCAATAACTGATGTTCAGGAGAATGACCCTGAGGCCTTAGAAAAGGTTATTTCTCTCATATTTCCTAAATATCAGGCAAAGAAGTATGTGAATTTTTTAAAAGAAAGATTTACAGGCAAATATTTTTTAAAATTAGGGTTTGATTCTGTGGAAAAATTATTTACCCAGAATACAAAATTCCCTGGAGAAATTAGATAAATAAAATACTAATACTTTTTTTTAAAACTGATTTTCTTCTTCGTTTTTCTCTTAAGTACTATTCCTTATTTCCATCCCCAGTCTTACAATCAGTTATTTACCGTAAGGCTACTCCTTCCACAATCAAGCTAACATGTAGGAGAAAGCCTGACAAATAGCTAGTATATCTATTTCTCTCCTTCTTTCAATTAAATTTTCCTCATTTTAAATCACTCAGTTTAGAATCTTTTTGATTCTAAAATCACTAATCTTTTCTGGGAACCAGTGGTGTATAATAAATTGCTGGGAATGGATTCTCTATATAATTCATAATCTATTTGATTTGTGGGATAGGCTCTTCCTTCCTGAGTTCAGCATAACTCTGAAAAATCAATTTCTACTCAGACCACCTATAGTGTTATAACAAAAAACCCAGTTCCTTTCTTCAGTACCTGATAAGAGATCCTGGCACGTAACAGGCACTCAAATTATTTGCTAAGAGAATGAAAAAGGAGATACATTTCAGAATAAGGTAATCAAAAAGCACTCTGCTCTACCTCATTCTATTACTAAAGAGTTTGAAAAGACCTATAAAGCATATATAATACTGGATTAAGATAATATTGTTATATTTTACTGAAAAGGATTCTTAGAGTTCATCAATGTTAACTCAACAATCCTCATAAAACCCTTCTGTGGTGGAAAACGTCATCACCTACTTCACATAAGTCAATAGCAAAGTCGGGTGGTAATACCTCATTTATCCAGAAACTTTTACTATTAAGACTTGAGATTCTCAAGCCCCAACGCAGCCAAAAAAAAAAGTGGTGCTGGGAAAACTGGACAAGCTACATGTAAAAGGAAATCAAAACACTCCCTAACACCATACACAAAAACAAACTCAAAATGGATTAGAGACCTAAATATAAGGCCAGACACTATAAAACGCTTAGAGGAAAACATAGGAAGAACACTCTTTGACATAAATCACAGCAAGATCTTTTTTGATCCACCTCCTAGAGAAA